AGACACACACCCACACGTGCGCGTGAGCATGCACGCGCTCACACACACACACACACACACAGAAAACATCACAGAGCAATCTTTTCCCTGAGAGTAAATGTGCAGTTATTCCTAGTTTAAAAACCTTACCCGGTTAAGGACTGTTCGGACTTGGGACCCGCCGCTCAGACCTGCCACCCGCAGCGGGATTTAGAATGCAGGAACGTGGGCGGGCCGCAGCGGAGCTGATAGTGGCTTCTTCCAAGGAACAGAACTGTAATCTCTGCTGACCGCCCTGCACAGCACTGCCCCTTTCTGCTCTGTTCTACATCACAGCACTGCATGTAAGAGCTATGCAAACAAAAGCAAAGTCCTCAAGTTGGAGACTCCTTTGCCCGTTTCCCTCTTATGAGTATTATAATGTACACACTATGTACAACACCTCATTTAACGACCTACTGCAGGCAGGGACCCGGGTCATCTGTAAGTAGAGGGCTTCGCCTCTACTGCTTGGCGAATTATTTCTGATACTGTGTACTATTCTCTTCTCTTTTAGTAGAACAGATTTCCTAAGGTAGAAACACACTTGCTTCAACCATCTGCCTGCTACTCTGGCAATTTATGCGCTAGAAAAGTTTAATTAGAAGGTACTTGGGTTCAGCAGAACTAATTAATCGGATGGAGAGTTACTAGGCATGGGGTATGAAAACCTCTCCTTGGAAACAGTCTCCATGTGTGTGTTTGAGGCCCAGGAGACTTTGCATAGTTATATATGTGAAAAAAGGCTCAGGAGAGACAGATTCAAACTGGTGTGAAACACATGCACGATATGGTGGCTCATGCCTGGAATTGCAGCCTAGGGAGGCTGAGGCTGGAGGATCACTGAGGCTTTGAAGACAGCCTGGGCTATATAGTGAGTTCAAAGCCAGTTTAAACTACCTAGCGAGACCCTGTCTCACCAAAAAAAAAAAAAAAAAAGACACCCTGAGCCATACTATGTGTACCTGTGCTAGCAGGCTGAGGGAATAATACTATGTGTAGTGGATTGACAACTAGTGGTCAATTTATAACCCCCAGCTGAACTGAGTAAGCGTGGTGATGAGTGTGGGAGGCCCGCCTGGGGCCTGTTGCCAGCAGTATAACAGGCGGAACTAGAGAAGAAGTTAGGCTGTTGGCAGCTGAGAGAGGCTGTTGGGAGCTGGTAGGAGCTGTAAGGAGCTGTCGGTTCTTTTGGAGGAGCTTGTCAGGTTGGCTTTCTTGATGAACTTGGCTGTTTTCATCCCAAGGAGCTCGGGGACCTTGTTGGCACTGAGAATGGCTTTGGTTCACTTTGTGGGAGCTCTGGTCCTCACTTGTGTATCCCTTCCTGGCTCCTGAGGGGAAGATGGTGCACTGCTCAGTCTCCTGGAGAAGCTGGCTGTGTTGGCTTCCCTGACGGGAACTCAGCTTTCCTGATCATAGGAGGAGCTCGGGACCTCACTGCTGCTGAGGATGGCTGTGGGACTTTTCAGGGGAGCTCTGGTTCTTACTTTGAGCATCGCTTCCTGGCTCCAGTGCGGATCCCTCAGCCTGCTAGCACAGGT